AAAGTGTCTCTCAAAGAACAACCACAGATCACAGCCTCTTACTTTAGTTTGGTTCATATTTTGATTTCATTTTTCTATTTTGTTTTCACTTTCAGTTAAAGCTTTAGATTTGGTTTTTTTTAAATATCTATACAGTTTTTTATTTATTAGTTTTAGTATTTCAAGTAAAAATTTTAAATAAGAAATGTTGCCTTGGCAGCTAGCCGACCTAAAATAAGTTTACGATTTATGTATTTTGTTTTTTAATGTTGTTTGTTTTTCAAGTAACATTTTTTCTTTATGGTTTTAACAATACTAACCCTGACTACAACAATTAAATTCATATAATTTGTAAAGTCTCTTAAAGGAGCAGCTGCTGCCATTTGAATCAGGAATGCTAGTCATCCAACACCTGACTAGTTGTTTGAATTTTTCTTTCTAGGTTTTAAAGTTTATTTGAGCTTTTATATTTAACAGTACATGCTAACGTTGAACCCAAGGCTGTTTTGTTACATTTTTATTTGATTATAACTATTAATTGCTTATTTAATAATTATTAATCTAATTATTTTCATGTAATATTCATAATTTGAGTTAAGCATGTTTTTGAAAGCAGGTGTATACTAAACAGGGAATTGTAAGAAATGTAACGAGTGTGGTTGTGATTCAGATGGACCAAATTCTGACACAAGTAGCAAATCATGGACAATAATCGATGTATTTTTTACTTTGAATCTGTTTATAGAAGTACATTTATTTTGGGAAGCTTTATCATGTTGCAAAGCATGATATCACACTTTTTAACTCCACAATATTTAATAAAACAATATTGTTCACGGTTATTTAAAAAAAAACAAATCGATACCTGCTCTGAGACGCAATAGTGCTGCCTGATTTACATTAGCTCCCAAATCGCACTCCATGATTCATTCATGAACTGGACTGATCTGAATCTGATTGCTTTTGTTCAGAAGTGAACAACTCACTGGTTCAATGATCCGGTGAGAGTGAATCTCCATTTAACAATGCAATGAACTAGGAAAATTGAGTACTTTTGTACTTGTACTCATGTAAAACAGAAAAGGGGTATTTATTACTGGAGTGATATTTTATTAGGGTATCGTTATTTTGATTTGTATACCTCATCCACCACTGATCTGCCATATTTTCTGGAGTATACGTTGTTTTTTTTTTATGTCAAGCATGCAAAACATGTGCAAATGTTATGTTTTGGTATGTTTTTGTTTTTTTGTTGTATAGTGCATTTTCCACATAGCTGTAGATTCAGTTTTGCTTATATAAATTCAGTAAATTAATTTAGGCTTGCCACTATAATTGAACGTTTATTTTATACTTATATTTTTTATTCTTGTTCTGAATACGGTTAAATTTGAAGAATTTATTGTAGAGTGAAACTAAGTGTTTATAAATATTTCATTTTATTTTACAGTATTTCTAAATGTAATAAAATGTGATGTATACTCTAATGCGACTAATGCTTTTTTTCTCTCGACAATGCAATTTTGACCCGGCTTACAGTAAGGTGTAACTTCTTATAATATAATATAACGTTAATATCTGGCTCTGTTCAGTGACTGAGTGGCTGATACCTTCAGTAAGTGAAGCTCCCACAGTGCCGTGTTCTGAGGGTTGCAGTATTCAGGCACATCCAGCTCCGGCAGATACACACCACTGCCCTGCATTTCATTATCCAGCAGGATGTCACACTTAGGGAAGGTCTACACAAACACAAAGAACTCATACATTCACCTCAGAAACCACAAACATGCAGGCGTCCGTTAGCGTAATGAAAGGAGGAACAGCACTGGCTCACATGCATCAGCGCTCTGTTGGCCGCCAGGATGCCCACACAGGAGTCAGGCAGCAGGTGCAGACCGAGCGCGCTCAGTCTCTTCAGGAAGCCCTGCGCCCTCTGCAGAGTCACCTGCTTCCTGCGTTTGGTCAGCATGACGTCCAGACACTGCAGCACGATCGCCGTCTCCTCATTCGTTCCTCCTGCGGCCGATTCACACAATAGTTATTTCCATCCAAAAATTGAAATATTGCATAAAACTTCTCAAGTGTTCAACCGGAAAAGCCTGTGACTATTTTTTTCCAACATGATATTTACTTGTTGCAGCCTTAGAGATCACAGATGAAACGCAGCAACGCATGCAAGACAGTTCTGGGAGGTAATTATATCAAATCATTTTAATGACAGACTTTTATGGAAACCCATTTTTGCCACAGAATAAAAAAAGGAAATTGTGACTTTTTCATCTCACAATTCTTAATTAAGAAAGAATTTGCAAGATATAGCTCAGAATTGTGAGATAAACTTTACTTTTTTTCATTCAATTTCATTTGCATCTCACAATTCTGCATTTACATTACAATTAGAATTCTTTACAATTCAGTTGTTTTGTTTTCACCATGGAATAAAAATAAAAAAAACTTTTTTTCCCTCACAGCTGCAACTTTATATCTCGCAATTCTGAGTTTGTAAACAGCAATTCACAGAACTGCGAGAAAAAAAGTCAGAATTGTGAGATAAAAAGCAATTACATTTTTTTTTTCATTCTATGGTGGAAACCAAGCTTCCATAGACTTTGGCTCAGTCATTTCAGAGTGACTAAAAGAAGATTTTTGACAATGTGCAATGAGATGAGTCCACTGAACTATTAAAAAAAAAAAGATTTTTCAAATTTTTTAAATAAGACAAGCCTACTGGAGAACATTTTACTTCAGTCTTTCTGCTTCAGAATCTGTGTTACTTGCTGTTTCTTTATAATTATTTCTGAAATTTAGTAGCGATTTCTGAGTGAAAATTCTTTCAAAGTAAATCCTACACCACAATTTTGAATTCACTGTGGTTACTTAGTCCAAACACGTGATCTGTTGAGGCAAAGTCACATGAGTTTTCTGTTGCGCTTCCAGGTATTTACTCAGTAAATGTTTTGGTAATGTAGATTATGCATATAATTTCTTATAGAATAAAAAAGATCTTGGTGATTTGATTTCAACCAGTGCTCTTTTATGCAGTATCCCAAAACTAGCATAAAAACACATGGATGGAAACATGTTCAATAATATTTCAGGGGTTCTGCAGGTTTTATGAAGGTAAATTTAAGATGTTTTAAAGACTTTAAAATTTAAGAAAATTTAAGGAACACAATGTTTTGTATTAGGGTCAAAGACGAAAGAGGGTTTAAGCATAAAAAACAATAAGTGTAATACTGCTTTAAATTGTTGTTGTTTAAAAATGAAAAAGTTTTCTGTTTAATTTAATTGCAATTTTGTTTTTCTGAGCAAAAAAATAAATATCATAAATTTTCCCCTGATTTAAGACCCACTAAAATGTCATTCAGTGTAACAATCTAGTCAGGCATATTTACAACAAAAATCTATTTATGACACATTAAAAGACTTACTTTCACCCCAAATACTAATTAGTTGTAATTTTACATTTTGAAAATTTGCCACTATCCTAGGTTTTGCCCATTTGTCAGTAAGATTTTTTTTACTCATTTAAAACACAATCAAATTTAATATGCTCCCTTATTCTTTTATATATTTTAATATGTACACGTCAGAAATTAAGCATGTTGTTTGAATTTTTACATAAATATTGTGTTACACTGAATGACAATGTAACATTTGTCAATTTCTTTTGATGCGGACATCTTAACGTCTTTGACCCATTAGCAACACAAAGTTTGAAAATAAAAATTCCTACAGATCTCCAATTGCTCATTTTAATTTCATTTCACACACACACACACACAAAATAAAAAAGCTTAAGTCTTGAACCGCACTGATCCAAACCACCTCAGTATATTTTGTGTCATTTCGTGTGCAAACATCTAAAGATCCTTAAAGGGGTCATATGATGCGATTTCAATTTTTCCTTTCTCTTTGGAGTGTTACAAGCTCTT